TCTAGCTAGTTCTAGCTAATTATATGACTGCCTGCTTATCAAAGGACACCTAAACAATAAGCGTTGCTTGGCAACGGCGTGTGGCCGCAAGTATAGCAGCATTATGCATATGTTTAATGAGGGGTCAAAATCCCATGCTCATAAAATGCTCATACAGTATATATATATATTTTTTCCACGCCCCAAAATAAATAAATAAATAGATATACCAATTTTAGGAAAAGTAAAGAAGTTTGAGCAGTGTGAGTTTTATATGAACAGAGTTACACATACTTCAAAACGCCAAGTGTAATAACTGCAGTTTGCCTCGCTGTCAGAATGACAAAGATCCTCAGTGAAGCTCGAGCCCATGGTTCTCACTACATTGTACAACTTATTAAAAAGATCAGTTCAATGCAATTAATGTCGTCTTAGTGTTATTGCATGATGTTAAAATTGGTTTGCCAGGAAATTAGAGATGGATTGTAAACAATTTAAGTGTTTCTCAGTTACAAGGTTGTTGCTTTAATAAATGATGGTGCAGCACTGTAGGCCTACTGTACCTCTTTATATAGGCATTTTTTCCTTAACAAATTGTTTTTGCGCTGATCAGGGGGTACTTGGCTGAATCTTTTTTTCAAAGGGGGTACATTATTGAAAAAAGTTTGAGAACCACTGCTGTAAGATATGGCCATACTTTTGCTTAAAACATTAATAGAAACATTTTCAATAATTTTTAAATGCTGCCTCTCATTTCTTTAGAGCATGTGGCTGTTCAGCATTTGCTTTACCTCAGTTTAACTTTAAAAAAGAACATCTCCACGCCTTCAGAACATTTGTTAGAAATCTTTTGCTGCTTTAGTCCTCCTCCTCCTCCTCCACCTCCTCCTATGTTTAGAAACACATCCATCCTGTTTTATTTTTAAGCTCAAAGTGTTCTACCCCGGGGATATCCTGTAACTCACCTTATTATTTATAACACACTTTCTTCTTAACTAGCACAAAATCTTTCAAGAACAAATGAAATCTAAGAACAAGTTGGCATGCGCGTGTCCTCGCTCAGGTATGAAGATGGAGGTGTGATCTCCTCTCCTGCCTGATGCAGCCTTTATCTTCTGACACTCTGCTTTGTCGAGACCAGGGAGATGTAAAAGTATATGGAGCTTTTTCTCTAACCTGAACCACACTCTACTTGTCTAGCCACATGCTCTAAATAAATGAGAGGCAGCATTTAGAAAATATTGAAAATGTTTCTATTAATGTTTTTAAACTAAATTTCTTACAGGTTAAAGGTGTTCTATCAAGCTTTTTTGGGTCTTCCCTTTCCTTTAGACATCACTATGTAACACTCGCGTTTCTATTGGCTAGCGCTCCAACACATCGTACGTGATAGACTAAGGGGCGGGACATCTCTAAGCGGTTGACCAATAACAACAGAGCTAACCTTTCAGAGCAGACTGGGCTGTGGTTTCAGACAGAGGGTGCAAAGAGGTGCTAAAGCACAGACAGTATGAGAAAAATAAAGAGCTTTTTGAACATTAAAGCATGGAGACATGGAGAGACACTACATACTGATATACACCTGAACATCAGCAGGAGAGGACTCTTTAAAGTAGAGACACTACATACTGATATACACCTGAACATCAGCAGGAGAGGACTCTTTAAAGTAGATACACTACATACTGATATACACCTGAACATCAGCAGGAGAGGACTCTTTAAAGTAGAGACACTAAATACTGATATACACCTGGACATCGGCAGGAGAGGACTCTTTAAAGTAGAGACATTAAATACTGATATACACCTGAACATCAGCAGGAGAGGACTCTTTAAAGTAGAGACACTACATACTGATATACGCCTGGACATCGGCAGGAGAGGACTCTTTTAATAGTACAGTTAAGCTATCTGGAGGCCTTTCTTAACAGTAATATACTTCTCATGTTAGTACAGGAGCCTTGGGGTTAATTATACCTCAACATCTCCAGTATATCGGCTCTACTTTAAATAGCTATCCTGTATTTATATGCGCTGGCATTAAAGAGCGCCAGATGGATAATATCAGGCAGGAGACAAAAGACATTTCTGAAAGGTACTTCAAGATGCAGCCAGAAGAGAAAGCGATTTGTTCTCTTGGGAGAGGGATATACAGTCGGGCAAAAAAGTATTTAGTCAGCCACCAATTGTGCAAGTTCTCCCACTTAAAAAGATGAGAGGCCTGCAATTTTCATCCTAGGTACACTTCAACGATGAGAGACAGAATGGGGAGAAAGAATCCAGGAAATCACATTGCAGGATTTTTAATGAATTAATTGGTAAATTCCTCTGTCAAATAAGTATTTGGTCACCTACAAACAAACAAGATTTCTGGCTCTCACAGACCTGTAACTTCTTCTTTAAGAGCCTCCTCTGTCCTCCACTCGTTAACTGTATTAATGGCACCTGTTTGAACTCGTTATCAGTATAAAAGACACCTGTCCACAACCTCAAACAGTCACACTCCAAACTCCACTATGGCCAAGACCAAAGAGCTGTCAAAGGACACCAGAAACAAAATGGTAGACCTGCACCAGGCTGGGAAGACTGAATCTGCAATAGGTAAGCAGCTTGGTGTGAAGAAATCAGCTGTGGGAGCAATTATTAGAAAATGGAAGACATACAAGACCACTGATAATCTCCCTCGATCTGGGGCTCCACGCAAGATCTCACCCCGTGGGGTCAAAATGATCACAAGAACGGTGAGCAAAAATCCCAGAACCACACGGGGGGACCTAGTCAATGATGTGAAGGTAAACTTCTGTTGTTGCAATGTTGAGGTAGAATGAAGGAGTCTGGAACCGTTGTTAGCCAAAAGCACCGAGAGTTTATTGATCACAGTACATTAATTACATACGGCCGGGGAGATCACTTAGTTGCACACCGTCCCGTGTTTCACCAGCGATCTCTGAACCAAAAGACACAAAACATCTAACCAACATGAGGAGAGGCGGGCTTCCAGAAAGCCCGCGTATAATCAATAGCCGATGCGAGACAATGGTCTGCTTGTCTCAAAGAGATCCTGCCAGGTCTCAAACCCCCCACGGATATAGGAGAAGCGTTTGACCTGTGACCTCAACCTACAGAGGAGTCTTTGAGTGACTACAAGCAGATGTTTGCAGTATCACAGACTCTAAGGAATAATAAGAGATTCTATAAACAGATCAGATTAAAATATTCTCTTACAAATGACCTGCAGAGAGCTGGGACCAAAGTAACAAAGGCTACCATCAGTAACACACTACGCCGTCAGGGACTCAAATCCTGCAGTGCCAGACGTGTCCCCCTGCTTAAGCCAGTACATGTCCAGGCCCGTCTGAAGTTTGCTAGAGAGCATTTAGATGATCCAGAAGAGGATTGGGAGAATGTCATATGGTCAGATGAAACCAAAATAGAACTTTTTGGTAAAAACTCAACTAGACGTGTTTGGAGGAGAAAGAATGCTGAGTTGCATCCAAAGAACACCTACTGCGAAACATGGGGGTGGAAACATCATGCTTTGGGGCTGTTTTTCTGCAAAGGGACCAGGACGACTGATCCGTGTAAAGGAAAGAATGAATGGGGCCATGTATCGTGAGATTTTGAGTGACAACCTCCTTTCATCAGCAAGGGCATTGAAGATGAAACGTGGCTGGGTCTTTCAGCATGACAATGATCCCAAACACACCGCCCGGGCAACGAAGGAGTGGCTTCGTAAGAAGCATTTCAAGGTCCTGGAGTGGCCTAGCCAGTTTCCAGATCTCAACCCCATAGAAAATCTTTGGAGGGAGTTGAAAGTCTGTGTTGCCCAGCGACAGCCCCAAAACATCACTGCTCTAGAGGAGATCTGCATGGAGGAATGGGCCAAAATACCAGCAACAGTGTGTGAAAACCTTGTGAAGACTTACAGAAAACGTTTGACCTCTGTCATTGCCAACAAAGGGTATATAACAAAGTATTGAGATGAACTTTTGTTATTGACCAAATACTTATTTTCCACCATAATTTGCAAATAAATTCTTTAAAAAAATCAGACAATGTGATTTTCTGGATTTTTCATTCTGTCTCTCATAGTTGAGGTATACCTAGGATGAAAATTACAGGCCTCTCATCTTTTTAAGTGGGAGAACTTGCACAATTGATGGCTGACTAAATACTTTTTTGCCCCACTGTACTTGTAGAAAGGTCGGTGAAATCCTGGCACAGTGTAATGCAGATATTCAAGAGGAGCTTCTGTTTCTCTGTCATGCAAATCAACCACCTGAAGGGTAAACAAATTGAAGACCAGAGAATAAGTGCTCACGATTCAATCAACTTCAAACTCTTTGATCGTAGGGTTTTTGGAAATTGCCTGTACGGATTAGTTTTTTGCAAAATGTGTACAAAAAACAATGGTCCCCAAACCAAAAGTGCCTACTTATTAAAATGGACATATTAAAAAGATAAAGGTTATAAATAATTCTCTTTGTCAATCAGATGTATTTGTCTTTTGAATTATTAAAAAGACAAATACATCTGATTGAGAGCTGTGACACAAAAAATAAGTTGGTAAACTTTTCAAGTAAAGGCGTGGACTGGCCGTGTGTGTGTGTGTGTGTGTGTGTGTGTGTGTGTGTGTGTGTGTGTGTGTGTGTGTGTGTGTGTGTGTGTGTGTGTGTGTGTGTGTGTGTGTGTGTGTGTGTGTGTGTGTGTGTGTGTGTGTGTGTGGCCTAGCATAGCATTACTATACTTGTGGGGATCTTAATCTGTTTACACAGTCACGTGTGGGGACTCGCCTCCCTTACGGGGACAAAATGGAGGTCCCCATGAGGGGAATCATTAATTTTAGGGTGAAGACTTGGTTAGGGTTAGATTAAGGGTTAGGGTTAGGCATGTGTTGGTTATGGTTAAGGTTAGGATAAGTCTCCAGGAAATGCATGTAAGTCAATGTAATGTCCCCTGAAGTGATGTATACATGGTATGTGTGTGTGTGCGTGCGTGTGTGTGTGTTTGCTGCTTACCTGGCTGATTTTAGCGGGTGTAAGCACCATGTCCAGGACTCCGATCCAGCCGGCGATCACTCCTGTGGGGACAGCATAGGCCAGCGCTATCATCAGGAAGCGCACGTTACTAAAGGAGACACAGATTTAAAATTCAATTCACATAAAGAGTCTTACAAGTCAATTGTCTGTGTTCTGGTTCTCCCATATGAATGAGTGCTTTGAACAGGTGTGCCTATGAATCACTAGATGAAAACCCAAAGCCAACGACATACAAATAAGTTATTGTATTCACAGTTTGTCAACGCACTTGAAGCCAAAACGATGCCTGTCTTTCTTACAGTACCTAAATGTATCCTGATTGTTTAAACAGACAATAAGGACAACTTAAGATAAAATAATAAAAAAGCATCTTTGATGAGATAAACAAGAACTATTCCTGAATGTCTGTAAAGTGTAGGACAAACTGTAGTTGATAGCTGGACCTAGTTATTTTGGTTTGTTGTGTTGTTCCCCTCTGGTTTATTTATTATCCACACACACTGTGAAAAAGACTGTTGGGATCATTGTGTAGGCAGGTTGGTCCCATTGCTGTCCTCTGGGTAAAAATATCTTGACTTCTCAAGTATACAAATCAAGCTCCACAGGGAACCAATACATTGTTTACCGCACATCAATGATTAATTGACACAGTTTCTTGTTTGGTATTTAACACGGAGAAGTTTGTTTAGAAGAAGTAGACTACTTATACTAGAGTAGAAGTAGTAGTGATCAGTCCAGACTTATAATGGGTCGGGTCAGTAGTTTTAAAACTACTTTGAGTCTAAGCGTAACAGAATTTGAACATTTAGATTTGCTTGGTGCACATGTGTTGGTCAGATTAAGGTCTGTTATCTTTTCAGTTTAAAATAGATAGGGTTAAAATGATTGAATATCCTGCAAATATAATTTTTGTTTAGGGGCATCAGGTAGGAAATACCATGCAGATTCGCTTTAGAGGAGACATTTCAGTCAGCCAATGTTGTCCTCACTTAACAACAGCTGTGTTATCAAATATGTTTTGGGGCTCCAGAAAAAAAACCTTATTTGGTGGCAGAGGGGGAAAGTGGCTCTTTTGATAGTAAAGGTTGCAGACCTCTGCCCTAGACCAACTTACTGTAATGAGTAAAACGCAACATTATTCATTTACAACAACATCATAAAGGTTAAAGCAGTAAGTCGTTCTTATCTTAAGGTAGTTCTACTTTCCTTTCCATTGGCCCATTGATAAATCAGCACATCTTCTCAACACTAGCTAAGTGTATTGCTTATGAAGTTATCAGGTGAAATGAAACTGTACGAACAGGTGATAAAAATAAGCATCCCCTCGCGGCTGTAATGAACAGCTTCAGGCTGCAGATCGTGTGCTGCAGGGTCTGATCCGAGCTGTCAGCTGATGTCTCACAGTATGCTCTGATCAACAGGAGACACAAAGAGAAAGAGACATATGCCTCGTTATGTATGCATATCCATATCTATGGCACCCCTCCAATCACATGCAACCCAATTACAATCACTTGGAACACCCGCGATTATCACCTTCGCCCAATGAGGTGGCATGTTGATTTAAATCAGTGGCACCTCCTCGACCCAAACAATAGGATTAGAATCATTGGGCGACTGACAAATGAGCCGCGGCTGGCACAGCAGGCGACAGATTCATGGATCGTTTTGTTTTCCTGCTCCATTTTCTTCTTATGGACCCTAGATTTATATTCTTGGTCATTATAATGCAGGCGGCATCCTGAGCAGTATCATGAGGGACATCTGGAGAACACCTTGGGCATCCTGCATCCCCGCTATGTCTTCAAACGCTCAACACACACACTGATAAAGTTCACACACACACACCTACAGACAGTCTTTGTGTTGCAGACTACACAGGGAACGTGTCCCCAGACACAAAGCCCTGTTGCTGTAAACATGCACACCCTTTTCCCTTTCCTGACACTGGTTCACTTCTAACAATGAATCTCTTTTATCCGCAGACTGCTTTGAGTCGGCAGAAAAACAAACACTGCTGTCTTGTACTAAGCAGTCTGAAGCTACTTGGCCTTGGGGAGAGTATCGAGGGACCGTCATAAAAAGAACCGTGATGGAGCACCCTCTTCGCCCTCCTCCCTGCACCCTTTTCATTAACCTTGCCATAACAGCAAGAAATCAATATCCATGCACCTTTTGCAGAGTCCGGGTGCTTATTTAGATAACCAAATGTGAGCTAGCAGACTTGTAAGTGAGAGGAAATGTGTTTTCCCTTTCCTCTCCTGATGGTAATAAAATATTTCCGAAGAAGCCCCAGAGCTGGCGGTGTCATCAGCTAAGTGCCATTTGTCCTTGGCAGACCCGGTCGGAGATCAATGCATCAAGACGACAACTTTCAGAGCTACAGGGGCGGTGGTGGCGAAGTCAATAGGGACTTGGCTTGGCAACTGGAAGGCCACCAGTTCAAGTCCCGGAAAGACCAAGTGCTACCGAGGTGTCCCTGAGCAAGGCACCGTTCCCTACACTGCTCCCCGGGCGCCGTTCATAATGGCAGCCCACTGCTCCTAACACTAGGATGGGTCAAATGCAGAGAAACCGTTTCGTTACATGGTACCTGTAATGACAATAAGTTGAATCTATCTATCTACAGTGAGTGTGAGGGGGCTAGGGATCATCAATACTCAGGCTTTGGGCTGTTGAGCATTCCCACGCACTGTGATCAGAATACAATGCTAACTTTTACACCTCGTGCAAAGACATTCAGGCTCTAATTACACTGCTGCTGAGGAGGCAGATGTGAACAGCTGGAAGCACACATGATGCTGAACATCATTAACCAGTATCTATGCTCAGACTCTGACAGTCTAAATGGATGAACAGAAACACGTGTATCAGGCAGAGTAACTGACTAGTTGGCTTCCACCTCATGTAATTGATGAGGCTACAGAATGTAAGCATAGTGTCAGCTCCTGGATGCAAACTGGTTCAATCCGATGGCTCCATACTGATATTTTTAAGCAGATCAGGTATCATCCACATGTGACCAATCCACTTTAAATACAGTTTACTCATCAATGTCATTACAAATTATTTATGCTGCATTTATTAGATCATGGAAGAAATCTCATTTTTAGTCACACAGCAAGTAATAATAATAATAATACTACATATATAGCGCTTTTCCTGGAGCTCAAAGCGCTTTACAAGCAAGAAAAAAAGAAAGATAACAGTTAATGGGCGTCTACCAATCAGAGAGTCAATGGTTCGATCCCCAGCCTCTGCAGTCGACATGTCAAAGTGACCTTGGGGAAGATACTTAACCCTAAATTGTCCCCATAGTGTCCGGTATTAAAGTGTATGTAAGTTGCTTTGGATAAATGACATGTGATGTAATAAAATGTGGTTAATTCAGTGAGGCATTTGAACAAAGAGCACTGGGATATGATCAGGAATGTCGAGGTATTGTTTTGTAAAAGACAAATCTGGATCCATGCATCCCTTAATTGTACCTGTCTGTCTGTGACTGGTGGTGATTATTAATACACTAAAGGCTTCAAAGTCTGAGATAATTAAAACACGATCGCAGCACACAGTGGATTTATGTTAGTATTTAAATTTGAATCAGTTAAGGGAACTGATAAATGCAATGAGACTTAAAATTAAAGAGACCCTATGATGCTTTTTGGGGTTTTCCCTTTCCTGTAGTGTGTTATATAGGAATGGACTCTTTAAAGTAGAGACACTACGTACTGATATACACCTGAACATTAGCAGGAGAGGACTCTTTAAAGTAGAGACACTACATACTGATATACACCTGAACATCAGCAGGAGAGGACTCTTTAAAGTAGAGACACTACATACTGATATACACCTGAACATCAGCAGGAGAGGACTCTTTAAAGTAGAGACACTACATACTGATATACACCTGAACATCAGCAGGAGAGGACTCTTTAAAGTAGAGACACTACATACTGATATACACCTGAACATCAGCAGGAGAGGACTCTTTAAAGTAGAGACACTACACACTGATATACACCTGAACATCAGCAGGAGAAGACTCTTTAAAGTAGAGACACTACATACTGATATACACCTGGACATCAGCAGGAGAGCACTCTTTAAAGTAGAGACACTACATACTGATATACACCTGAACATCAGCAGGAGAGGACTCTTTAAAGTAGAGACACTACATACTGATATAGAACTGAACATCAGCAGGAGAGGACTCTTTAAAGTAGAGACACTACATACTGATATACACCTGAACATCAGCAGGAGAGGACTCTTTAAAGTAGAGACACTACATAGTGATATACACCTGAACATCAGCAGGAGAGGACTCTTTAAAGTAGAGACACTACATACTGATATACACCTGAACATCAGCAGGAGAGGACTCTTTAAAGTAGAGACACTACATACTGATATAGAACTGAACATCAGCAGGAGAGGACTCTTTAAAGTAGAGACACTACATACTGATATAGAACTGAACATCAGCAGGAGAGCACTCTTTAAAGTAGAGACACTACATACTGATATAGAACTGAACATCAGCAGGAGAGGACTCTTTAAAGTAGAGACACTACACACTGATATACACCTGAACATCAGCAGGAGAGGACTCTTTAAAGTAGAGACACTACACACTGATATACACCTGAACATCAGCAGGAGAGGACTCTTTAAAGTAGAGACACTACATACTGATATACACCTGAACATCAGCAGGAGAGGACTCTTTAAAGTAGAGACACTACATACTGATATACACCTGGACATCAGCAGGAGAGGACTCTTTAAAGTAGAGACACTACATACTGATATACACCTGAACATCAGCAGGAGAGGACTCTTTAAAGTAGAGACACTACATACTGATATACACCTGGACATCAGCAGGAGATGACTCTTTAAAGTAGAGACACTACATACTGATATACACCTGAACATCAGCAGGAGAGGACTCTTTAAAGTAGAGACACTACACACTGATATACACCTGAACATCAGCAGGAGAGGACTCTTTAAAGTAGAGACACTACACACTGATATACACCTGAACATCAGCAGGAGAGGACTCTTTAAAGTAGAGAC